TAACTGTAAGGAACTATAGTGAAACTTGTAAGCCCACCCCCTAAAAATATTGCTGTGGTAACAAATCCAACTTGTGTCCACATAAGTAATACTGTTAATGGAATATGGCTAATGATTTAAGGCAAAACTGAGTGAAATTATGACACTTTCTTCCCGTCTAACCTTTATGATGCAGAAAAAGTAAAAATTATACATTAAAATATTTACCACTAATTTTGAAAAGTAAATAAACACTGAAAATTACAAAACTTTCACTAAAATCAAAATTGCCCCTCACAAATTTGTTAAATAATTTTGAAATTTTACCATTTCACTTTTTTTATTATCAAAATGTCATATATCACATTTTCTGACAATTTGGAGATCATATCATCAAATTTAGGCCTCTCATCCACTGTCAGGTTGTTTCCATACAGGAGGCAGACCAGATGGTGAAATTTAATGGTGGTCTGCCTCCTATATATCTTTGTTTATTGTTCCCTACAACTAGGTGGCAGGCCACTCACATGCTGAACAAGAAAAGATTTATTTTTGTCATTATAGAAACCATTTTATAAACTACGATATACGAATGGACCATACAGTGGTCACCATTATTGAACTCTACATGCTCATAGTTCGGCAGTTTAGCAAGTTGATGTGAAAGTTACGGACAAAAGAGCCAAATTTTCCACAAATGCTGTTTACTACATCTACCTTATGGCGGTCATCTTCGATCTTCAAGATTTCTGCTATGTACAAACCTATATCAGCCAATTAGAATTGCAATTTTAGTGTCTAAACCTACATTTTCACGATCAAAGAATACAGTTATATCATCTAGAAAAGGTGCCACTTCCTCCAAATATAGTATGGTGGCCATATTGGATCTTCAACTTTTCCGCAGTGTAAAAACCTGTATCTACCACTTTCTCAGCTTCTAAACCACTAACGATCGCAATCTTGGTGTCTGAAACTACATTTTCAGAGCCAAGGAATACAATTACTGAATGGAATTTAACCATCTTTGAACTGATATTCCTTTTATAGAATCCCTTCCCTACTAATCCATCTGATTTATGTTGAGATCTTTTGAAAACGTTCTATTTTGACGGGCAATTATAACGATAAACCTAGAGAAATGGATCCACAAACTTATGATGGAGAAACGATTGCAGTTGAACAAAGAATGTCGAAAAAGCGTAGACAGGGTATGATCCATATCAATATATAATGTACCCCACGCAGTCAAAATTTGTACTATTAAACGTTGAACTCACCACAGCGAATGTGCACGCTCAAATGTCAAGTTGCTAGGTGATTTACAGACTAGACCCGGAGCACGAGAAAAATTAGAAATATATTCTATCAACTATTAAAGCCGTAAAAAATCAATTGTTAACGATTCTGAATAACAGTAATATTTAACTTTGTGGTTCTTAAAACAGCTTTAGAGAATTGCGTTATTTTGGTTTAATACAATTAATATCTCCCTCCTTCGTTGTACACGAATATAATACTATTTTGGTTTTGGTTTTACATGGTTCTCGAAATGATTGTTGAGTTGCCTAACGAATGAGTTACGTGCTTAGATTTGTTGATCTAGTTTTCTGTAATTGTACTAATATTTCGTAGAGAATAGTCTTGATTATCCCGGCCTGTCAATTAAACGGAGTACGGTCGGTAGACTGGTTTAGCGCATCTTCAATAGAAGGCTTGATCTCGCCTTAACTACGTACATCTTATCAAGCCCTTCACGTAATACCCCGCATATTTTAGCACTAATTTCGATTGGGTATAAGCCCAGCTTGGGATCCTATCAGATTCCTTCGTTAAAAATATGGTTACGATTATCAAGTCTCGTGCTTCTAGCTAAAATGTCTACATGTGACAATCGAGTTGCAAAGTTCAAGGTTCGATCAATGTCAAGGTTGCTGGAAATCATGGTTGATCAACAAAGGCTGTAAACAGGTCTATTTCTTTTTCTATGGAGGCCGCCATATTTTTTTACACTGTGTTATATGCCACGACCTCTGATTGGACAATGCTAATTAGTCACGTGTACACAAGGAGCGCAAAAATTCGGGAATTGTTTAGTATTGAAGCAACGACTAGATGTTGTAAAACTCGCGGTCGTTGCTTCAGGAACATGGGTTTAGCGGCACTCATTTCAAACCATGGGCACGTAACTTATTTTGCACTAAAAAAATTCGAGATGTAATGGCCACTCGTCGTTTACCTTTTCAGTCCATTTTCTTTTATTGATGTTTAAGTGGTCATAACTTGTTAAATACAACGTGACCGTTTATTTACTGATTATAAAATTAATGTTAAGGCTTGTTATATATAAAAAATATTGTGATGTAATTGTCGAAATATTTGGAGATATTTATTTGTGGTGGGGCACCCCACGTGTCGAACATTTAATTTGTGTAGCAAGAATTATAAAAATTATTTCCATTATATAGATATTACACCTGCTACAAGCTAGCCAACTTATGACTTCTCATTTCACAACCAGTTTCTTGTTACAGTTCCCTTATAGCATGCTGGGTTTCATATATTTGCCTTCATAAGCCTGTATGGGGTTTAACGTCCTACTTTTCTGCACCGACTGGGCAAATGGAGACGGGAAAATCAACCAAATAAAGACGTAACAATAAATTGGCATAGATGTTTTAATTCAGACATTTGAACACTTAATGTCGGTAAAAAAGACGTAACTCTACATTCAGAAAAAGTAATCCAGTCCTTGCATTAAATTAAAAGGGCCATTCAAATTTTCGTTATTATATTACTCGTTTGGACATCTACGGTGTAAACGAATAAAAAAAAAATAAAAAATAATAAATATTAGATATAATGAGTTTCAGACGTGCCGTAGTCCTACAGACATTCGGATAATCGAACGTAAGTTTCAGCTTGTTAGAATTCACTTGCATGCATTTCTGTCAGAAACTAGGGTTATATAGGATCCAGAACACTTTGGGTGGCAATCGTCTTGCAGTAGTGGATGAAACCAAATTTCTGGTTGTCATTTATCCCCACATTAATCCTCAAAAAGAAATGCCGGAAAGCTCTCAACATAATGAGTAGTTTCTCTGGACAAAGTCACTTCACTAAGCTGTAATATGAAAATACCGCTCTACCCCACCCCTGTTCTGAGCTTATTTTGGAGCCCGTACCTTCTATTTTTCACCGTAATTATTCTATGTTCGCTAAAAGTGATTTTTCTCGATCGCCACATCTGACACAAAATCATAATAATCCAACACTATTTTTAAGTCGAATTTTGCGATTTAAAAACATTAACAAAATACGTTTTAACTCTATTTACCAAGTATTTTATCATGTGCTGTAAATGCGAAGATAGTTCTATTAGCCTCTCACATTATATGCAAAAACTAAGATACCGAGAATCTATTGAACATGTAATAGCTTTGAATAATAATACATTGTGTACACATCGAAGTGGTCTGTTCTTCGCACCATAGCTTAATAGCTGTAGTTAACCGATGTTGACAACAATTTACAATTTATAACTGAAAAATGTTTGAACCGTCGGTTCCAACTAGGAACTACACTGTAGACTTTCAAATAACAGCACGTTTTGGGCATTTGTCTCTATACTTTCGCACAATTTCGTATAGAGGACAACAAAACAATAATAAGGAAAACAGATATTTTGATAGTGCCGGAACGAAAAAAGAACTATAACTAGAATAAATCTAAAATACAAAATCAATCATGTCTTTACTCTTCCTGTGGGGTATGACGAGGTGGGTTTTTTTCTCTGTGATTGATAGGAAGTGGTTGGTGGGGTGGGGTAGGGGGTGCGGCGTGGTAATTACTGTTTAATGTGTGTCCTTTTAGTGTGTAATACTGTTTTATATTGTAGTTATGTATATATAAATTTACAGTGTATTTCAATAAAAATAAAAAAATATGGAGCATTAATAAGATCAACACTCGATTATGGATATATAGTGTATGTCTCGGCTTTGGAGTTCATTCAGTAATCACGATTTTAAAAAAACCCTATAATTTATCATTCTTTGTCCCTCTACAAGCAATAAACATCTTGATCGCCCCTTAGTAACAGATACATTCATCGTCAGTTACTATCATACGGGTTGATCAGCACGGACAATGTGCATTGCTTGTGCCACAATCATATGGATAGAAAAGGGAATGACCAAGGAGACTAGACTACTATATGTCTGCTTTAGGCCCTCCTATATCCCGATGTTTAACATCGTATTAATATTAATAATATTATTTACTAGAAGAATGCCCGGCTTCGCTCGGGGGTAATAACCCCGAAACCGGAAGTGGTAGACTAACGCCACCTGGGCTATGTTACTCCCCGGTCCGAGCTACCCTTATACCCCAAATTTCAGACTCGGGGCAGACCTAGTGTAGCCGCCAAACCCGAACAGACAGACAGACAGACAGACAAACGAGTCACAAATATTAGTATAGATCGCCAACCCGAACAGACAGACAGACAGACAAACGACAGTCACAAATATTAGTATAGATAGATGGTCGTCGGCATCGGTCTCAGGATCTTGCAGACACAAATAAACTCCATCACATCAAGCCTCTCTTACGAGACTGGCCAATCTCCTATAGGTTCAGTAGGAGAGATGAAGTTCTTTTTTATTGCTATCGTACGGCCATACCTTTTTACCTACGTTTTCATGTTGTGATATTTGTTTTAATTTTAAATACTCCGTGACATATAATATTTTGTTTAGTAATAGAATTTAGCCTGTCTCATATTTCGCCATATGTTTAAAAATACCATTTCATTTCATTTCAAATGTGTTGTCATCATAAATATCCTCATTGTGAATTTGAAAAGGGACACTGAATGTGGTACTGGATTACCACCTATCACGGAAAGCAGTTAAGTAAACAAGTGTCTGTTCTAGAAACGGAAATTGATACCAAAATCAAATTGATATACAGTCCAATCATATACAATTAATTTATTTTAATATTCGTTATACCTTGGTCATGAAACAGTAGCCTACAATTTTCAAACTGTCGAAAATAATAATTTTTCATTCGTGTGCCAAGAATCAGTGTCTACATATACGAACTACCAATCTTTAAAGGTCGCATAAAGCCTCGCTTTCTTCTATAGTATGTGGATAGTAATTGTAATTTTTAACTGCTGTTGCTTTTTTTCTTGATCGACGTCGTGAACGTTTTCGGGATGGTTCCAATGGATCAATCATATACTGTGATTTATATAGCCACACAAAAGATGACAGGAAATTCAAAGCTACACATATCCATGCCAACACGAACGACCAACCGTAACTATGGTCTTTATGAATGTCAAGATCGTGTTTAAAAGGAAACACCACATGGGGCAATAGCGGCCATCTCTGTTGAAGGTGACTTTTGCCATTAAATAAAGCTATGGCTACCAGCAGACACATACCTGGAAACAGAAGAAGATAGACATTATCACTGTAAATGATAGTCTCGCATATATTCATTTACTCTTTGGATTCCTGTAATTTACGGGTGCCCACACTAGTGTATATATCTTACTCGCCTCAGGTATCTAAATATCGCTTCGTTAATCGTTGTGATCACCTTTGTCCATCCTTAATGTATTGCGAACGCTCTGTAGGTCAGATTTCATTACAGATTTAAACCCATTATGACAGTTATCTCCCGATTTCGTTCCAATGTATGATTCGGAACAATTCTTGGTTTCATACTTGGAGAAAGAGATTTATTTTCGGACGTGAATATCGAGCGCGTTCGGTGGAGTTATCTGCCCGTTCAGTATTTTGCATTTAAAAGTAATGAACACTATACAGGAAGGAGTTCTCATTTGAGTTTATGAAAGCTTTTACATGGTTCCAATGTATGATACAGGGCAATTCTCGGTTTCATACTTAGAGAAAGAGCCTTATTTTCGGATCGTGAATATAGAACGCGTTCGGTGGAGTTATCTTCCTGTTCGGTATTTTGCATATAAAAAGTAAATAACACTATACAAGAAGGAGTTCTCAATTAAGTTTATGAAAGCTTTTACATCGTTTATAAGAGGAACCATATCGATATTTGGATTATCTTGTTTGTAAATTTCATATTGGTATGCATTTGTATTGAGGCATGAAATTTTAAAATTATATAGTTTCCTTTGCAGACTGTATACAGGCCGACAGATCATCGTCGATAGGAAGATAGTACACAACCTATGGATAATAGCATTCATACGTTAATATCCAAAGCTGTTTCTCTATGGAACCTTTAAAAACTTGCTATAGATCTTCGTCGATAGGAAGATAGTACACAACCTATGGATAAAAGCATTCATACGTTAATATCCTAAGCTGTTGAGCGTCGTTATGTACACATTGAACGAAAATAGATATAACAACAGTAGGCGTACGGTGGGTGATGACTGATTTGTGGCGCTAAGACCACAGGTAATTTTAAATTTAGCTTACCTGAGGCAAGGGAGAAAGCCGAGGCATTTATGACCAATCGTGGCCTTCTGGAGGATGCACCAATAAAACCTGTCGTTAAAGATACCGCCATACATAGGATACAAAAAACAGCGAATGAAAAGGCCGCTCTCTCTATTCCTAAAATAGACATGTATAACGCGTTTTAACAAAACCAGAACACAATATGTTTAATTGTTTAGTTTTGTCAATATATACTCTTCTAAAAAAGTAGGGGATATTCAGAAACAATACAAAACTGCGGAAATGTACTTCTGTTTTTATTAGAGGTGTCAGTGTATGTAAATAACAGGCCGATTGCCTACACATGAACATAAACAGATCATATGGGCTGCTTATCTGACGGTCCCATTTCACTTGCAAAGAGATACACTGTCAAAAGTGAAAATTGACGTTTTTGATTTTTGTCTTAATAATGAGTAATTGCTCCACCAGTCCTCAGACATTCAGAAATTTGCCCTGGCATGCTCCTAATCAACCGTCCAATCACGGTTTGGGGCAATCTTACCCACTCCTCTTGCAGTGCCACGGCCAATTCTTGCAGTGTTGTCGGTTGACGTTGACGTCGACGAACACGTCTCCCGATCATGTCCCAGACATGCTCTATAGGGGAAAGGTCAGGACTCATGGGTGGCCAAGGCATATATAGACATGGTGACGCTGGAGGTAGTCATTCACGACACGAGCGCGGTGGGCACGGGCATTATCATCTCCAAAGATGAAACGTCGACCTGCACGTTGAGCAAAGGGCTAAACTATCGGTGCCAGGATGTGGTCACGGTAGTGCACACCAGTGACCCTTCCTTGAACAATATGCAAGTCCGTTCTGCCAGTCATTGTGATTTCTCCCAACACCCGTTAGCATGACGCTCATATACACGCCTCCAAACGCGAGCACGCCTATCAGTGAAATCCAGAGTAAATCTGGACTCATCTGAGAACATTACACGCGCCCATCGACGATTACCCCAATTTCTACGCTGTCTACACCATTGACGCCTGTTTGCGATGTGCTTGCGAGTTAATAGAGACACAACACGCGGTCGTCGCGCATGCAAATGGGCAGCATGTAGCCGATATCTAATCGTTTGGGGTGTAACTCGAATTCCTGTAACTTGGTACAAGTTTACAGAAAGATGATTGGCCGTTTGTCCTCGATTTCGCAGGACCTGTGTACGAATGTATCGATCCTGGGCTTGTGTAATGGCTCTAGGACGACCTGAACGAGGACTATCATCAACATTGTGTGTTTATTGGTACCGGTTCCACAGTCTGCTGATCACAGACTGTGACACGTTAAGGATGTTGGCTACTGCTCGTTGTGTAGAACCCATTTAAAGCTTGCCAATAGCACGTAGACGTTCATCATGTTGAAGACGTCTCATTGCCAATTAAACGTAACACACTAAAGCAAAGATACGCTAAACAGTAAATCTTATGTAAGGACCGATAGGAAAGCAAACATGGATAGGATAAACCAGCACGTGTATGGCACTATTGCGTGTCGTACGTGCAGCTCAGTGGTTCTGTTGGGACGATAAGTTCTTCATCTGTGAACATACTCTCATAGCATATCAAGTGTCCATGACTATTTATCACATCACAACCTGCATAGGTATTTGCATTTCAATATCCCCTACTTTTTTTGAAGAGTATATTTAAAGGGTTAGTGTAGAAGTCTACTTCACCTTTAACACTAATGATTCTAAGGTTCGAGATCTAATTTATTTATTAAGCTGGAGATGTTGTTGTGACAATTTTTCGAGTGGCCTAACACTAGCTGTTTTCGAAGTTCATAGTCACTATTTCAATTAATGGCCATTTGTCTTTAATAAACGGAGGTAAATATTTTATTCACCAGGACTATTTTCTTGAATTGTTGTGCTTAAAACGCCATCAGGCACCCTCGCCGTTCATTTACATACATATCCGATGAAACAAGAAATGTATCCAGATTAGTTCCATGATTTTTTGGCTTTTGTAATTTGATTTGTTAACATAGGCTAAATGAGGGAAGTGAGATAGGCTAGTTTGATCAATCTGACCCTATAATGGTTACACACTTTTCTCTTAGGTTCAGACACTGTAAACTTATTTTTCATCTATTATCAAAACTAAGGTAGGGGTAGAATAGAGTTTAACGTCTCCTCAACACAATATTTTGAGACTAATTTGTCTATGGTCATGTGGGCAATTCCAGTAAAGTTATTTGAGGATCACTGTCACAACAATTGCCCGGTTAGAAAATTGGCTTGATTATGCAGTCGTTTTCAACAGTTTACATTTCAGCTATATTTGTTAGTAGGCCTGATGACGAAAACTATTGAAGAGTAATAAAAATGTGTCTCAAGAATTCTATACAATAATGTGAGGTCTCGAATAACTTGTATATATCACAGATAGGCTTGAAACAATATTATTCGTTGGAATCCGGTATTAACGAAGTTATGCAGACGATGCAAGGTCTAAAGTTAACAATTTTGGTGACAAAATATTCTCAACAATACATGCAATGTCAATAGATGGCAACATTTTCACTTTTAGTGATGAAATAATACTCAAGATGTTCAAAATTTCCCATTTTCTGAAACCGACTTCCGTATCTAGAAAAATGCGCAGATGTGATAAATTTAGCGTTACTATATATATTTTGTTTAATGCGGGGAAACTTCCAACAACCAAAACTCAAGAAGTAACCCTATTTATAGGGCAGTTATTTCCAATAAAACTATGGCATGTTTGATGAATATGGAAAGTAGAGACACCCAATTTTATTAGAAAAAAACCCACGGGGCGCCCACAGGACCAAGACGAGAGGCTGTCACTAACTGACAGCCAGTCTCCGCGAGTGACGTAAGGGGCGCTTATGTGTTGATCTAATGGCTAAAAGTTGTGAGAACATTGAGAGATCTAAACGTCCAATAAACTCTGTGACTGAACGGAGGGAAAGTTGGTAAGCTTCTTAAGCTTCAATATTTATGATAAATAGACAGCGACTAAAGACAAATACAAGCTGGAAATGGATGGATTCTTCCTAAATCAAGTCACAAGTCAAATAAGGATTCTTAAGAAATAGATTCTCGTCGCATAGGTTAGTTTTCATTTGATTAAAAATTTTTGAGAGAGATTTGAAACAACCATGTGATAGATAAATTTGTTTGAATGTTATTATAGTCCAAATATGTCATCAAATCACTCAGTTTGTACGCTGGAGGGTATCTTTAACACTTACTTAAAACAGTCACTGCATCATCGTATTGTGATCTATAGTCATCAGATGGCATAAAGATAAAATTTATACATTTCTGTTTCTGTATCAACTTGATCCCTAAACGATGCCGTACACCATCTGCAAAAAATATAGCTATATTTCAAAATCTACTCTTAAAGTACAATAAACACAAAAAGGAGAAAAAAAGATAAAACGCTAAAAAAACAAAACAAACAAAAACACACACACACACAAAAAAAACAACATCTCTTTCAAACGTCTTATGATTTAAGGATTACAACAGTTACATAAACAGAAGTCGGTCGAATCCAAATCCAGCCCCAATATAATTACATTTAATCCGAATCCGGTCCAAACATTCTGAACATTAGAGATACGCTACCTCGGAAAAAACCAGCTAGAGCTATAGATACGTGTGTCGAACAAAGAATACAGACTTTTGGCAAGCGGAGTTTTCTTTTCTTCCATCCGTATCGCGTATCCGTATCGTCACGTGATACGCTGCGTCAATGTAGGTTTAGAGTTTTGGCAAATGTTCACCCCGCGTACGTATGAGTAGCTGAGCTGAGCTTAGTTCCATTACAGCATGATGGCTGTTATCTACCAAGATCAACATTAGTACTAGTCAAATGCCCGGCCTACAAATTCCTGAAGGAAGCAAAGTCGCTCAACAGTCGCTGAGTTATGTAAAAGTTTTAAAAGATTTAGTGTCGAATCTTATCAAAAATCTTCGACTTCAACAGCAATTTTTTGTTTCACTAATGTATCATTTCAGAACGTATATACCCTTTTACAGATTGCGCGGTCCCACCTTCCTAAATTTAGCACGCAGATCAATCAGCATGCAGACAGGAAAAATATGAAAATTACGCGAAAAGCTCATAAAAAAATAACGATTAAATTCCAGTCTTTATCATGGTTAAAATCACATCAAATATACACCTTTGTGTTCTAAAATACACATAGATTCATACAAAAGCTACGGCACAACATTTCAGCGTCTAAAAGTAGCAAAAAATACGGTAAAAAAGACGACGATGTTATACGGACCTTTTCCGTATAAAAGCTGTTCGATACGTGCCGCCGTATCCGTGTGCCGTATTACGTATTAGAAATACACACACAATGATGACCTCACACGCAAAATCAATACGGATACACGATAGGGACCAGGACTTTACGATTGCTAAAAGTCTCTAGTGAAAGTTCTGGGGCCTGTTTCACGAAATTTTAACCAAGATAAAATCCAAATTTTAGTAATTTGATTGGATAATATTAGATTGATTTTAGTGCTTAGCCAATCAAAATTGAAGTATCTACTAAAATTTGGATTTTATCTTTAGTTAAAATTTCGTGAAACAGGGCTCTGGTCTTATCCGAAATCAAGATATCCCACAAGAAGAAAAAAAGAGCAAGAATGTTTTTATTGGTTATATCAAATGGTATAGCATGACCTATTATTTAAGCAAAAGCGCAGAATCGAGATTAATCGAGTTTGATGTTTCGGGTATTTCCTCTTTGTACATTGAGTGATTGACTGCAAATGAATATCGAAGTGCGATTGCAACAACAGGTTTTATAATTGATCACACTTAATTAAAAACTAACAGTCCGGTATGTAATACACATTAATGCAGAGAGAAAACCGATAATTAACTCGGTTTGCGGAACGGTCGTGAAACCGCATCAGTTGCGTATCTTTTTTGGTTCCGTGGATTTTTTTCCCCCGCCTTTCGAAGAAAGCAGAGGACTATTAAAATGGGTATGTCTGTCTGTCACACTTTTTGGCACACAATAACTCTGCTTCTAATTGAGCTAGAATGTTCAAACATGGTGTAGGCGTTCATTAGGTTAATGCCTTGATGGAGTTCGAAGATGATCATCTTCTGCTGAGGGTAAGCACTAGCAGAGATAAGCAATTTGATTGGTTGATGCTTTGGGACACGATAACTTTAATTCTAATTAAGCGAGAGTGATGAAACTTGGTATATAGTTTCATTGCATCAATACCTTGACTAAGTTCGATAATATGTATTTTCTGCTCAGGGTAAGCAGAGCGATAAGCAATTTGATTGGTCGAACATTTGAAACACAATAAATATCCCTCAAATTGAGGTAGAATGTTCAAACATGGTGTAGGCGTTCATTAGGTGAATACCTTGGGCGTCTTCTGCTTAGGGTAAGCAGAGATAAGCATTTGGTTGATTTATGCTTTGGGAGTGACGAAACGGTGTATAGTTTCATTAATCACTGCCTTGACTAAGGTTCGATAATGAGAATGTTCTGCTTAGGCTAAGTAGCGATGAGCAATTTGATTGGTCAAGACTTTGGAGCTCGACAACTTTGATTCTAATTGAGTGGTTGTAATTGAGGTAGAATGTTTAAATTTGATGTAAATGAATGTCTTGTCCGAGTTCAGTGATTAACATTTCACACTAAAGCTAAGCAGAGCTAAGCAATTTCATTGGTCGATGCCGTGGGACAAGATAACTTTGATTCTAACTGATGGAGAGTGATGAAACTTAGTGTATAATTTCACTGCCAGGTACCGCAAAACCTTGACTGAGTTTGATCGTGAACATTTTATGCTTAGACTAAGTATATATAATCAGTTTGACTGCTCAATACTTTTGAAAAAGATAAATGTGCAATTAATCAATATGCGTCATCTATTTTTTTTTTTTTTTTTGGGGGGGGGGGGATTTCGGCGGGGGACATCAGCCTTACTGATGGCTTGTTTTATATGGAACCTATTTTCTAACAGTCGTGAATTCATGTATCATGTTGCTTCACCTTTGTCCACTGTGTTGATGAAACATTCTGGTAGGGGAATTTTCAACGACTGGTCTGTTTATTATTATACATTTGATTGGGTACTACATTTCTAATAATTTCCTTTCAGTTTATTTCTATAATTATAATTACTAGGCCTGTAGACAACATATCTATAGGCCTATCTTTATATTTGTGTTAAAGTGGCTAAGTCTCTAACTCAATATCATCCAAAATCTTCAACATTGAAAACACGAATTATTAGTCAATTTAAATCAACATTGATGCTGTGATCTTACTGAAAAAGGTGGGCTTCTGATATCCAATATTTAAGACAAAATAAACATTTTACCATTAGTACACGAATCGTTTCAGCCCCGGTTGTAACAAGTGTCTCGGAGAACGAGGCTAGACACATTGCACCAAATCAAACGGCGTCGCCATATTCTTATCTGGAGACCATGCGCAATAAATACTAGGTAGACTAGAATAACCAGACGCTGGAAATTTGCATTCGATTGAGACTGCTGGCTCATTTCGACGAACATAACTGATTTGAAATTAGAATAAAAACGCAAACCATTGAATGTAAATCAGTTTATATACATTCATATTACAGTATTATATGTGGTGCGACCCATTTGTGTCAATTCCTAGGCCCAAAATGTTAGCGATTTAGCTCCTTTAAGTTATAAGACTGACATTCCTCTCCTTTAGACGATGTAGGCCATTAGAAGAATGTACCGTGGCTGTTTTTCAAACTTTTATCGGTTTTCCAACAGCTCGTCTGTTTTTCAATCGCATATCTGTTTTTCAATCGTATATCTGTTTTTTCATTTACTTATCGGCATTTGAATCGCCCGCGTATCTCTTGTTTAATCGCTTATCAGTTTTTCAACTGTGTTACTGTTTTCAATAGCATGTTTCTTGGTCACTGGTCGTTAGCAGAACCACTTTCATTCCTATGCGGGGGGGGGGGGGATGGTCGAATGGTTAGAACGTGCGTGCTGTATCATAAGGCCTGTCATTAAGTCAACTGGTGTGGTTTCGAATCCCAGGTTGTACGTCCAACCACGTGGGTTTTCTCCGTGTCCTGCGGTTTCCCTCCACTGCTAAAGACCCTTACGCGCAAGCGAATTAATGAAATAAAATTAAACCATATGTTAGGCCCGAAATGACCTAGTTTGTGTCGAGTGGACGTTAAACCCCATTTCTCTCTCTCTCTCTTTCATTCCTATGCAAATACATCACCGTATAATCATTATTTAATATTCGCTGTTTAAAAATCATTCATTCATGAAGATTGGTATTAATCATAAATCAATAATGAAGAGAGCATATACATATTAATACAGAACTACAAATTTTAATTATTTAAAACTGGCGAACCGCTTGCCATGGGCATTTCATTAAGTGATATTTCCGCAACTAAACCAAACAGATCATTAGACACTTTGGCTCTGTCGATAAAATCAACAATCTGTATTTGTGTAGAATTAGAGAGAGAGAGAGAGAGAGAGAGAGAGAGAGAGAGAGAGAGAGAAATGGGGTTTAACGTCCACTCGACACAAACTAGGTCATTTCGGAACTAATATATGGTTTGATTTTATTTACATAATTCGCGTAGGGGTCTTTAGCAGTGGGAGGAAACCGGAGGCCCCGGAGAAAACCCACGAGGTTGGACAGGCGACCCTACTCCTTGCCACGTAAAACCGGGGTTTCTGTGTAGAATTAAGTCAGCTGTGTATAATGTGCAGAGTTAAGTCAATGATCTATAATGTACAGATAGATGTGCAGAGTCATGTTAGAGATCTATATTTTCAGAAGAATTGTTAACGAAATATATTTTCTGAAGAGTTAAGTCACCAAATTATATTGTCAGAAGAGATAAGTCAACCATCTATATTTTCGGAAGAATTAAGTCAACGAAATATATTTTCTGAAGAGTTAAGTTAACAAACTATATTATCAGAAGTCAACCATTAGAATTTGGAGAAAAGTCAGCCATCTACATTTTGAGAAGAGATAGGTCAACCATCTTTATTTGGAAAGAATTGAATCGATAATCTAGTTATACGTTAGGCTATGCTTAGTCCCCTAAAGCAATAATCAATATTAATTTTGTAATAAACCTCGATACTATAGAAACAAACGAATACACAAACAGCTGCTGTTAGCTGTATGTAATGACGGGTGTAGGATATCCTCTTTCTAAAAAAGTTGAAGAATTCACATGACATCAACTCCTTGTTAATTTATATTAGCTTCCTCGATGTTCAGAGAATAGGATAAATATGAAACTTAAAAATGTGTGCAAAACATATTGGACACAAGATGAATTATCAAATCGTCTATTACAGTTGACAGATATTGGTTCGATTTTTTTTATTTTTAAAGAAGAAAAAATAAAGTCACGACAAGGCAGAAGTAAATCTAAAAAATGTCAAATATACTATAAAAAATAAGAATATTCTGGCATATACCAAATCGATAGTGGAATTGTTATATACCGTAAAGATGGCGGTATGAAATCAATTGAAACGACGTAAACATCTATTTAAACATACATTATGCAAAAGCTAAATCTGTCTATTGCAGGTCTTTCTTTAGGCCTGAAATGTTATCTAAATTATTAATTAGACAACTATTTTCAACAGGGTTTCCATCAATTTTAAATATATATTGATAAATAATCCCCTCTGTAACACAAACAAATAAGTTTTTGTAAGCGAGAAATTAATTTTTATTAAAACCGGAAGTGACATAGTTGGTTCAACACGCTGACTGGGATCTTTAGTAAGCATACAGATTTGACACAAGTTTACTGCTGTATTGTGTTCACGCGTCGTCCTTTGGCCAAAAATCGGATCAAATCGGTTGTTTATTAGGATATCATAAACACGAATTTATGTATTTTTAACGTTTTGTACACAAAGCCGTCGCGTAAATTCACTCATACTAAACTGTACGCTGTGACTCAATTCACGCCACATAGCTAATTGTTTACATCACGTGGTTTGATTGACAGGAATTGAGCTGATATTAGAGATCCATCCTCCACAATATTTCAGTTTGCAAGAGAATCATGTTACGCTAAAATGACACAAAATGACACAACGAGACTTTAACCCCCAGTTGTGTAAATATTTGGATAGCATGTCTATATTATACTTGTCGTGCTGGTGTGTGTGCGTTTGGGGGCGACTGGCGCCTTGTATGCTTACTTATTATCATACCCCCGATAACACTTCTACTTCTGAAAAGTAAATCCCGTTATTTAAATAATATTTTATGACCTTATACAAGCATACATCAATTTCTTGTTTAGCTATGTGAAAAGAGATATGAGGGGTTCGAAATGGAGTGTTCACATCCTGTCTCGTGCACGACACAATAATTAAGCTCACAGTTGTTTCTGTACTTTTGTTTTACCTTACCTTCTAAATCATTACAGTCTCGAAACAGGTTGCTATATTGATAGAATACAAATATCCTAGTTTCTACCCGAATCACACCATTCTTTTCTCGACCAATAGGTCCGACCGTGGCGAACACTGGAGGTTGGTAGAAGTATTGGGTAGAGCTTTTGTTACCTGTAAATACACAATAGTATGTCTCCTATATGTTACCTCCCATGCTCCATAGGATTTATTTTGTTTATTGTATTAATATTATCGTTTTTAGTTTTATGCTAAGTTCAGTGAAGTAAAGTGTTGCCTAGTCCATTCGGGTAGGACGAAAAGCGAGTTTTATGCGCATTAGCGTCACGTAAATTTGGCAAAGAGTCGGCAGACTCAGGCAAAATTCCCAACCGCCCAGAATTGCGCACAATAACAGTATTAAAATTGATTAAAATCGCCGAATTCGTTTTGATGAGACGTTTAACTTTCAGCTTTGAAAAAATCACAACTATGTCCGGAATGTACCAAATTTTAACGGTTGGTGCACAGGATATTTGGGCGTTATTTTATTTTTATGGCTAAGTGTGCAAAGCAACGTTGCCGCCTACTATTGTGGCGTGTGTGTCAGGATAGGGGTAGGTCGGGGTGGACAGGTCATGTGCCCTAGCAATCCCCGCCGACTACACTACTGTGATATGTAAATATAGCTTATAAAACTTTAACATCAAATTTTCAGTCTCACCTGTGTAATACCTGACCGGTTCGTCTTTGATGTAAACAATTTCCAGGTAGGTTCTCGTATCACGTGGTATAAACACGTTCACATTGTTCATTTTCGGTAAAATTTTCAACAAAGCGTCAAAATTAAAACCGTTGTATTCCCAGTAGTCGGTTGCTATGGCAACCATCAACAAAACGAGAATATTACCCGAGAATATTATTGTACTGTAATTGCATATACTGATCACGCTGAAACTCGACATTTTCATTTCAACAAATATGTCTTTTTATATCATATAAATAATCCACAGCCCCAAAGTATGTCTATTCTAGAACACCTGGCAACATCTCTAATTGATCTGAAGACTTCACATAACTTAGAAATTCTTGTCGCTGTATTATCGAAAAAAAAATAAATAAAGAATTTATAGATATGTTTTGTTTGTTGTTTAAACATGTTAGCACATACACAAAATCTCGTGCGTAATTAAACTAACCCATGATTGGCCTCTGATATTTAACTCCCGACAACACTTTTTTTTAGCTATTACTGGACGATGGTGTCGTGCACGGGACAAAGATCCTTATTCTTAGAAGATCAAAGACTTGACATTACAGAGTTTAGGAAAGCATTACCGTTTATAAGAAATCCTGGTGCGTAATCAAGCTAACCCCAGATTGGCTTCTGTTATTCAAGTCTCCACAACACTTCTTTCAGCTATTATTGGACGATGGTGTCCTGCCCGGACCAAAGATCCTTATTTTTGGAAGATCTAAGACTTGACACCACAGAGTTTATGACAGCACAATCTTATTGTGGGTTTTATATTCAAACAGGTCTGTGCAGAATTTTCATAGTTTCTATAGATTTAAAAAAAATGCAAGTAACTATAGCCATTTGAAGTCAGTAGGAACTTTCAAAACCATAACATTTCGATTGAAATATAAAAACCCAACAAACAACAAAACGTCACTAGAATTTTTGAAAACAGTCACAAACACATAACAGATCACTAATTAATATTGTATCTCAGGTATCAAAACATTATTTGATTTAAAATTTGTTCAAAATAATTTCATAAACTGCTTGATGAAAGGAGTTGCGTCCGTACTATATACTTGTAGAACCGAAACTTATATTCTAATAAATAAAATATCTTCTTTTTTAAAAATTAAGCGCGTTTAATTCACAACAGATTAATTAAAGCTTCGGGTTTGAATCAGATGTATACCGTTTATATGCATCTATAGATATTCTCCGACTCCAATTAAGATTTGATGTTTTGCCCTGTAAACAAATATTTTATTACCTTAAGTCCTGTCCGTCGACAGCGGATTCTGGTTCAGTACACCGAACATAAAACGTTCACCAGGATAGTTATAGACATTATAGACAGGTTTAACATCTGCGACACTCTTTATAACCAAACCTCCCTAGGGCCGACCAGCTTAACGACAAGGAAGAACTTGTATTGTTAAATTATTAAATACAGAATCTGCGACAAGATGCTATAGAAATAATTATCCCTGAATATCTGCCATTTCATTTCAATAACTCAGATTTGGACCTAACTCATTATATTTACGAAATATTTATGAAATATTCATGTATATGCTACGATTCCACGTCACTGCCAGCAATGAAAGCCACTGAAATTTTTAATAGAAAAGAGCTACAAATCTGATCACATCACGACATTCTTAATTGTATAATTTTACAACTTATAATATTCCGAACATGTTTATTGCAAGTTATATTCATGCCAAATGTTCCTGATGTCAGATGCTTCATTCATTGAACACGGAGATAGAAATCACAGGTACAGGTTGACTATAACATTGCATGGCCTGTCTGATGTTATACCTTATGACAATAGATATCACTACCCAGACTCCTTCTATTACATAACTAAATACTAAAAACTAAAACCCGTGGCAAACCTTAAAACTTTGAAACAAATTCCTTTCGTTTATCACTTTGAAACAATACACAGTTAATAGCTCTGTTTATTGAAATTTATTAAGTACAGATCCGTACTTATGATTAGCTTATTTTACTACGCGTAGATTCATTTCTGAATACCTGGTGCCATTTATGACTGACTTATGTTTATAAAAATGTGTATTCAGTAACTGAAAGTAATCTAGTTTATCACCGTCCACAGGAATAAACAATGTATGTACTAACTGAGTTTTACCATGGTTGTGATTCATACGAATCATGGTTATCACATATTGTATTCAACTGCTGTAAAACTTATCCAGTTTAAACCAATTAGACCGTCGTTTAAACACAAATCAATGACTTTTAACAGATTTGGGATCGTTCAACTCTACGTCAAATTTTGGATTCAGTATCTAATATTCATCGTTAAATTTCACCAGTTTTGTATTTAGTACCTAAACCTCATCGCCAAAATACTCCAGTTCAGTTTTTGTATTCAGTATTAAAAAATAATCATCACATTTCACCAGTTTAAAATTTAAAATTGATCGTCAAATTTCACCAGTATTCAGTATTCTAACACTTCTCGTCAAATTCCACAGGTTTGTGGAATTAGTATTTGAAATTGATCGTCAAATTTCACCAGTTTTTGTATTCAGTATCTAAAACATATCGCCTATCGCCCAATTCCATCCATTTATCACCATTATAAATCCACAAACAATAGTCTTACTGAATTTCAGCAAACTGTTGAACAAATGTAAGTACTGCCAATAAATAGCCATAATAGCCAATGCGACAGGTGGCATCATTACGCTTCAATTGATAGACGAAACAAAAAGCAGTTAAAATTTTCATGACATGAATCTATTGTATACAGCATTTTATTGTTCATAGTCAATGAAACATACTGCTCACTTACCGTTAGAAATCCACAATACAATTAGTTCAAGCGGTTATCAGTACGTTCTGAATAAATTGAACATAGTAGACACTAGTTATTAGATATTTCTAAATGTAAACACCTATAAGTGGCATTAGGTGTTCCACAATAACTACGTATACTGTGGCTGGTAATATAATTAGTTCCGTGTGTTCTGAATCAATTAGATACGGTAGACCAAAACAAATAATCGACATAGAATGAATGAATGGAATCGAGTTTAACGTTATACTTTTCTGCAAAATCTAGTTGTTAATTTCTAGTTGAGATGTGATTTAAGTTTCCAAATCAATGGCAGCCACAGTGGCTCAGTGAGGTCCCGGGTTCGATTTCGGTGGTTTTCCCTTATCAGTAGTGTAGGAAGGAGGGTATGGGCAGGCATAATGACTAGTCTTTTGGATGAGACCAAAACCCGTTGTCCCGTGTGCACATTGATGTGTGCGTAACCTTGGCAGTTGGAAATCGACTAAGAGCAGGTGGAAATACATCCGTCCGGGCAAAATGCCCCCTATAGCGCATTGTATATCGTAGGCATGTGCCCGAATTCATTATCACGGTTGGTGCAGAAAAGTAAACCGTTAAACTCCATTTCATTACATTTCTTTTTAAGTATATGATGCATCGATGTTAGATAAAACATTATCTATCTATCTTCCCGAAGTTCATTATTCGTAAGGTCAATGAATAGATGTTTGTGAGTTTAAAGCTAATAGCAAAGGTCGAAAATTGATTTTATATCGGCAATTCTTTCTTTTACATATCCACGTATGATGAGGAATATGACTAAGCATTAACGGCTTAATGTTCAGATAAGATTATGTTCAAAATTTGAGAAAAATGTTCGTCGGCGTTTTTTTATATTTTCATTTTAGAATAATTAGTTCTGTCTATGGTTATTTTGAATATGATAATTGCTTATAATTAATTATATATAAGCGTGATATTATTGAGTCGAAATGTTGAAATAGATTATACAGGTTAAAGGGACTATCCCGATTTGAACAGAGTCTCAAAAATAAAAGTCTGAGTACGTATGAAATTTAAACGCCAACATATAGTGTATTTACCTTGTCTCAAACTTTAAGCTCAAAATATTGAGTCGTTTGGACGTGAATGTCAAAACTGCTTATCCGGACACGTAACCCTTTTAAGATTTCAGGTCAAATTTTTCGTTGAATGACCTAATAATCGATTCCCGTTTCTTTAAAGGTCTATACAATGAATGACCCATGTGCTGTACTTGATAACAAAAGGTAAATTTCACCTACACATTATTTATATAAAATAAAAGTCTGGTTTTATCCAGACACCGCATTATACAGGGTGGGACACCGGTTTCCATTTCCAAATGAAGACCGACAGGTTTAAGTTGTTCGAAAATGCATCACATAACTTGAGTTAGTTGCTCGACCCTAAGGTAGAGTATTTTAAGGGATTTTAACACAAAATTAAGCAGTTTTATTCTACAAAATATTATCGGGATTGACCCTTTAAGTAATCCAAATTATAAAAAAGTTATTCCTCTTTAATTCTAATATTAATCTTCAAAACAAAAACAATTGTCTCTAAAATTCTATACAGACAATAAGATAAGATGTACTCGTAATTCATCTTGGGAATATAGCCTGACGAAATATTAATAATAATTTTCTAATTATAGACAATACATATGCTGCATTTATTTCAGAACAACTCAACCGCCAACATTTCTATTATTGTCAATGTCTATTGTTTTGTATAATATTTCCTCACACTTTCGGCTGACTTGGGTTTTTTTCTCTGGTTCAAGATCTTTATCGGTGAATTCAAAAGCAATATAAACAAAAAAATGTCCAATAACCTAGAAAAAAATAATCCAAATAGCAATTATAACTGTTAATTGGAATTTGAAAAAAAAACCAGTAGGCTGTCCGAACAAAATTCTGAGGAGAATATTCAACCCCATTACATTGCTTCATGATTTTTATCGGTGATGTCAGAGGCTAAGAAAAAAAGAAGAAAAATGTCAGCAGCATAAAAAGTGGATTGCAAAGCGCAAATAAGATATAGGTCTATACCGGTAATATAAAATTTTCGATTAGAATTTGAAAAAAAAGTGTAGGACAAAGTAAACTTAAACAAGCTGCTCGGGAAAATGTTTAAGACAATATTAAAACCCCTTCCACTGTTTCAAGATTTTAATCGGTGATATCAGAAGCATCCAAAAAAGTAAAGAAAGAAAAGTGCAACAACAAAATAACTGGATATATACGAAAACTATATATGGCACCCCCCCCCCCCCATCATAATTTTGTAGGGGATTAATCGTTTATATATTTTCTATCAGGATTTGATGTTGACTGGGGTGAAAATGTCACAACTGACGTAATGACTGCTCTACACAAAGACACTTTACACCCCCTATCCCTCCGCTATAATATCATTAGTATTACCCAAAACTGCTATGAAATTCTAGACCAAAATGTTAACCAAAAATTGCAGGAAAAGGTGAGAAAAAAAATTAAGGGAACATAATAATAATTACTAGTAGTAGTCCATACAGCAGGATTTTTCAGCGTGGTTCACCTTGGCTGGAATGTCCGGTATATACCGGTTCGCTAAACTCCTTAAAACACTGAGCAACCCGCGCGACTCGCGGTATTGTCAAATCGGGTCAAATAGAAAATTTATGGTTTACACCAATCTTCGAATACGACGATCGAAAATGCTAATACCCTTTTAAAGCTCTAATACCCGAACATAATAGAATATACATGTAGAATATACATTTTCTATACATGTAGAAAATTAATGGTTTACACCAATCTTCGAATACCCGAACATAATAGAATATACATGTAGTTTAGGTATAGAGTTTAAGACCTTAACACTGGCATGTAGGGAGAGGGAGTGGGGGCATACGGGCATACGGCCATACGCACTATGGCCATTTGAAGTTTACATCGCCTTCTTTATTTGTCATACATAGATACAAAGCAATACCTTTTTTTGTAAAAGACATTGTATTTTATGTGGTCCTTGGATATGCTTAACTACGCAATTCTAACACTTTGTACATTTAAGCAGGACATACGTATGAGCTGTAATATATGAACGATCTGGCTTGCTATGCCTTTAACTCAGATTAATGAGCTCGCGTCGTTTTATTATGGAAGTTTATCTTGGTAATCCCACTGGGATAGTAGATACCATCTTCGTCTCCTTTAATTTATCGCAGGTGTAATTCTGACTTTTAAAACTAATTATATACAAATGTCACCAAATATCCCTTCATAAACTGTAAATTAATTTTAACACTTAAACTGGCGAGTGCAATGACTGGGTCACACTCAGAACTTCTAAGATGACAAGATCTCACATGGGACAAGGGCTGGATTTCGTTTGCGGAAAATTGTGTGATGGTCTATTAAATTAAAAGAAATTATCATTGGCAATTGGCAATTTAACAGACGATGTTTTTTTTTAGGGAAACAAAATCTCCACACTTGTTTTTTAATATCATGACAGTTCTGTTTCTAGCTAACTTCGTCATCTGAAATCCCAACAATCGTTGTACATACACCTGTTTTTTATTTGTTTGTTTTTTAACTTTTCGAAACCAAGTTCAAATTCTGAAATCTAAAACACCCAATTTTAATTAAGAATTTCCCGACCCAGCATTGACTTCTGACATCTTAACCACCGCCCCCAACCCATTTCCTCAATTCAGACCTGTCCCTCCTTGCATTGACGCCTGGACTGCAAACTTTTGGAAATCAACTTCGATTTTTAAAATCTAAATTATCGCGACCCCAGACACCTATTTTCAATGCTAACGTTTCCAATCCAGCTTTGACTTCTGAACACTAAATTGTCGTTCCACACACATATTTTCAATTCAGTCCTCTGTCCGATCAGTTTCTACATGTAAAATCTAAACTATCCCCTTATGTAGCCAGATGTGCAAGGATTGAGGATCTCCTTTCACGGAGTCGGATATACTTACCATTTCTGCAACACATGATGCCAAATCCAACTATTTCTGCTTTGGGGATTGAGGAGCAAGACATGGGTTCAATCCAACATTTGTAGGTGACAAGAAGCCCAAACGCGTGATGTTTTTCTGGTTGTCCTATTTTCACCAATGCTAAAGACCCCAGCGAGAAATGAATAATTTAAAGCAAAATATGCATTCTTGGTCCATTGAGACAGGATACGTTTTTTTATCCCACGCGTTCACGTGACAGGGAATATAGGGTCACCAGCTTAACCTCGTGGGGTTTCATTCCACTGCTAAAGAACCATACGCGCAAGTAAATTATTGAAATAAAATTGTTCCATAGGCTAGTCCCAAAACTACCGTTTCTGTGTTGAGTGGACGTTAACGTGATTATCTTATACTTTTGCATAACATAAAGCTATTCTGACAATATATTTATTCGACAAATTTCACATTGATATTCCTGAATAGATTATAAAAATTGAGGACATCTGTCATTCATATAAATTATGCATTGCCATTATTACGGTGCTCCGCACAGCCAGAAATGAACTATAATAAAGTTGAACTCACTTCCTTGAATGACAGTCTCTAAAGTGCTAAGGTAACAACTCCGATGAAACTGAATTTTAGTGTGTATTACTAAAGTATTCTAATTTTCACAGGCCTAGTTATATTTAGATTCTCAGCTGTGCCAACTATAAAGTAACGTTAAATTTATTTTTGTCTCTATTATTTCATCTAAACTAGTCCAGACTCTTCAATTAGCCAGGCGACAATCAAATCAATTT